CTAATTATTCCTGTTAACCCATAATTGGCTTAAATGAAACTAGTAGTTAAGAAGCACATATGTGTATGTTAAACACTTCATGACTGTTTATTGAAAAGAAAACCACTATAGTTTAAATCCAAAAGGGAAAGAAATTCTAACTTAGACCCTCTGGGTACTTTTCTTACTTTCAAATGCACTTTTATTTGTCCTCTAATATTTTACTTTTCTTGAAACCCAAATCTTATTTGACAACAGTATAAATTCTTAAATTTTAAAAGACTCATTAGGGGCGATGACAGCTGATGTCAGTGTGTTAAAAACAGTGATGCTTTTTCTTTAAACACCTCAGGGCACTGCTTGAAGGTGTCTCTAGGCAAAACCATGTCAACAATTTTATGTTAATACTTAAATTTGTTTGAAGTACCATAGTGATGATTTGGATTCCTTACCTAGACTTCGTTACAATGTGAGCAGTATTTGAGACATACACACAGACTGACTTGTCTTAGGGGAATTTAAGGATAAATATGAAATTCCTTCTAGTTTGTTCACTAGAGAGGCAGTGCTTTACTGAAGGTAAAGTGGGAACACCCTAGAAGTAGCAGCATGTTTACATTAACATAATAAAAGAAAGTCATGATACTTCAGTAGAATCAGATAAAATATGTGCTAATATTCAAAATCCATTTGTTGTTTACTCAAGAGCAACAATAGAACATCTGAAATAGAAAGGGGCCTCCTCAAGCTGATAAAGGTATCTAAAGTGTATATGTAGCAGACATTCTGCTAGATATTACAGAGTCATAAGCTTTCTCTGTAAGAACAACCGTGAGATTAAAAATGACTGCTGTTCTATCTTTAACGCTGTTCATTCAGCATGGACTTGGCGGCCAGAGCCAGGCAAGGAATGCAGACGCGGGGCAAAACAACTAAGGATTGAAAGGGAGGAAATAAATATTCTCTTGTAGATAATGTAATTATGCATGTAGAAGTTTTTTCTTAATAAAAGTAAGTGATATGAATTAGTTTATTGCAGATTCTGGGGGAAGACCATATACAAAAGTCAATTAAGATAACATGAAATTTTAAAAGATAGCTTGTATAATCGCACTTTAAAAGATATCAAGTAATAAATCTAGCAAAAGATAAAGATTCCTAAATAGAAAATATAACACATTATTAAGAGAAATTATAGAAGCCCTGAATAAATCTAGCACATGTAGTGGGTCTGTTTCACAAGCTATGGAAATGCATGTTTTCATGTGTAATTAGATCTGGGTGACCAGGAGCACACAGTGATTCAGTGGTAGGTAGTAGCTGGCATGGTGCCCACTGATTCCACAGTTGCCACTGTAGCTTCTTTCTGGTCATTACTTTGGAATGAACTGATTAGAGTCTTTCTCCTGCTAGTCTGTAACCATCGATAAACTTCAGGGAAGTCGTGTTCACATAGCTACCGAAGATGGTTTGCTGGAAGCCAAGTACCTGTATACGGAGTCATCGCTTCTGTCTTCTGCAGCTGGGGATATTATGTTAGGAAGTGTGCATGGTAAGTGAAAAGGACCTAGTACCTTCAGACTTTCCGCGTAGCATAAATTTTAAGAGGTGACTGCAGTTGAAGGACCAGGAAACTGGTATTTTAAATAATGAATTGCAGACTTTCCATGTAAGTGGCTAAAATATGAACATAAAAATGACTCATAAACTAATTTTATTTTGACAAGAAATCATTTATGCTGGGGTATATGAAGCTAGTAGTCATTCTGATTTTTTTGATGCATATCCTTAGGAAGTGAGAAAACGTATCTGGGAGATGAGATAAAAGCACTCCAAAAGGTGGGTTTTGAGTAGTTGCTCTTATGTAGTAGTTGCTCCTGGGAAAGCAAAAGGTTGAGTTAATGAAGTATTTCTGTGGAGTCCAGTTATAGCAACTCAGTGATACTAGTTTTGGTTTAAATGCTTATACGTGCATTTGCACTGGCTCCGGGGCCTCTTGGCACCCATTATTTTCAGGGTTTTCTTTTTTCTTATGCTGCTTGTGATTTCCAAAATATGCATCTGCAGACAAGCGGTATTGTGCAGTTTGTAGAAAAAGGGAGGACGTAGTGGTGCGGTGCTGTGGGAAAGCCTCGCTGGTGTTAGGATCACTCAGCCAGGTGCAGAGCAGCTGGGTGGTGGCGCACGTCTGTCATCCCAGCACTAGGAGGCTGAGGCAGGAGGATCACCGAGAGTTCAATGCCAGTTTGGGCTATGTGGTGAATTCAAAGCCAGCCTGAACTACACAGTGAAACAGTCTCAAAAAAAAAAAAAAAATCTCCACAGAGTAGATGATACAAATATGGGTGTGTTTTCTGACATATATTCAGATAGAGTTAAAATCACTTATCCTGGAAAGAATTTTAGTCTGTGCCCATCTGCTAAATACCTCTTGCTGTATCCAGGAAGCACGCATTTGACCCTTTTCCATGTGTGGTCTACTCACTTCATGTCTGTAGTGAAGATGAGCGCTGGTATTGGTGTACTTTGGCAACCCCCCGGATTTTACTAGTGAGCACAAATTGTTAGGAGATGTCAGGAAGTGTAATATCTTTGTCACTTTCTCATCACTGGGACAAATTACCCAATGCACAACTTAAGACAGGGAGAGGCTGATTTTGGCTCATGGGCTTTGATGCATGGTGGGCTCCAGAGCCCAAGGGCCCGGCCAGAGGCCAGCAGCGAGCGGAGGGAGCAGCCGGGTAGGGAGGCCGCCCCGGCAGGTGCATCGGGGGACCTGGTCTCCAGCCGGGCCCCACCTCCTGCAGCCCGCTTAGCTCTGATTGCATGTGGAGATGAAGGCACCACACCCGGCCTAGGTGGCTGGCTCAGCGGGACCTGGGGCAGGGCCGCCGCAGCATGTGGGGCCAGGATCGATATTCCTTAGTTTTGGTAAAGCATTTTATTTTATTTTATTTATTTATTTATGGCAGATTTGGGGATTGAACTCAGGCCCTTGCGCTTCTAGGGAAGCGCTTGGTAAAGCCTTTTAGTACTTATGGACCTTTAATGCAAAGTCAAGTATATTTCCTTACATGGTGTGGACCCAAGTCCTCTTTTTGGACCCTTGTCTCTGTTGAGTTTTGCTGAAAGCAGACGTTCTGAGGTGGTCATCGGGCAGGGCATTTACTAAGGAGACCTCTTGGGACCCATGTGGTCCCCACAGAGGGGCGAAGCCAGCTTTACTGTGTCAGCAACCCCGAGGAGGAGATGTGAGGCAGGTGGGCCCTCAGAGTCACCGGAGGAAGCTGGGCTTTTGTGTGCCCAGCGCCTGTGCTTCCACAGCCCCAGGAGGGCGGGTGATTTGGGGCCAAGATGGCTCTTGCACCCTGTATACCAGCAGTGTCCCAGTCGACGCTAGGACAGTGAGCCGCAGGTGCAAAGGGGCCTGGACAGCGGCCCACAGCCGCTGCTACAGTCAGTTATCATTCTTTCAACACAGTGTGGGCCACTCACTGGGGGCCAGATTTGCAGAGTTGCAGACAATGATACCTGTCCTTAAGGAGCATGCAGCCTGGAGAAAGGAGTGGATGTCCTTTCTTGTTTCCTCAGTCACTAGCACCCCGCTGGGACCCCACCCCCGCCTTGTGTCCTTGTGCTGCCACTGTCACCATCCTTCACGCAGCCCACTCGCACTGTTGCCCTCAGCTCCTCTTCTCGCGCAGGTGCTCCAGCGAGCAGGAGTGGGGCCCCGGCAGTTGGGTCAGCCCCAGCTGTGGGGCAATTCCCATGCTGTTGAGCTCTGTTTTGAGCTCTGGCCCGCAGGGATTATGTGAGCAGGGGCCGGAGATGGTGCAGCAGAGCAGGCAGGGCTGCGGCTCCACGTCGTGGTGGGCGACAGCATTAGGTTCTGGCGCATGAAAGGCTGTCCGGATGTGCAGCTTCTGGGGTGGCTGGGAGGCGCTTGTCTCCAAGATCCCCCAAGTGGACCTCTGAATATGTACTTCAGTGACTTCTCTGTTCTCAGAGCTGATGGTTATGCTGTATGACACAGTGAGGTATATTTAAGCAGGCTGGCTTGGAAATTTACCACTTGTTTTATGAGAAAATGTGCTGCTACTTCTAAATGTCTGGCTCACAGAAAACCAACTTGGAGAATATATTCATTGTAAGTCCTGCCCGCTCAGGATTTATTTAGTTTGGCTCTTTTTTTCTTAATCAAGTCCTAAAGTGATTATTATTTCCCAGCTAGAGCTGGAAAAATCCAACATACAGATGTAACAAGCCATTTTGACGTGGATATAATGTCTTTTTTCATCGATTTTCACAAGTATATGAATGTGGAATCCCAGTGCCAGTAACTGGGTGTCTACTGGGAAGCAGCTCTGCCAGGAGAGCCGGAGGCAGCCAGGCCCTTTCACTAGGAGGAAAGCAAGGATTAGAAATACCTAATCAAGAAGAAAAGAAAAAAGAAATGTCTAATCGTTTACTCACAACTGCAGATTAATTATTAAAATAGTTAGGACTTGGTCCTGGTTTCTTTTTTCTTTTTAAAAAATCATTTATTTCTTTGTTTGTTTATTTGGTACAGGGTCTCGCTGCACAGCTGGGACTCCTAGTGACCCTCCTGTCTCAGCCTCTCCAGGGCTGGCATTACAGGTGTGCACCACCACTGTCCCAGCGATTGGGTCCTTGCACTTTCCAGGCAGGTGCTTAGACCGACAGTGTCTCCCCAGCACAGTCCTGGTTTCTGGGCTTTATTGGAGACACTGTCTATCAGCGTTCAGTCACATTTGGGGACACAGCCATGCTGAGCTTCCTGATCGCAACAGGAAATTCCATCCTCTCTTCGGGGGCTGCCTGGCTCTAGATCCCTGCTCCAGCTGTGCTCTACACTGTAGTGTCCTTGTATTTCAGGACCACTTATTACTGCTTTCTGCCTCATGGCATCTGGCACCAAATGCAGATGGTTCATAGAGTGTTTGGCTCAGCTCCACGCTGGCATTCAGGAACCAGACTTTCCCGAAGAGCAGCGCTCTCATTGTAAGTGCGTGGCTTCCACGAAAAGAAGAAAGCATGAAGTCTTTTCCTTGTATTTCACTCATGACCAGACGCCCTGTGTAGGCGCTCAGTGTGCACAGTTTTGATGTTGATTTGCCATCATGCTTGTCCTTGGCTCAGCCCCTTGGAGACATTCAGACACTCCGCTCCTTCCCTTAAGGTGATGGTGTCGCCCTCTTCTTGTGGCTTCTGTGTGAACCAGAGGACCAGGCAAGATGTTTCAGAAACTACAGTGTATGCATCGCCTCAGCCCTAGAATGTCTTCAGGTGGCTTCATAAATGCAGACAGTGCAGCACGTACACAGTGTACTCTAAGGAAGGAGAAAAGTGCGCATGGGTAGTGGCTCTGTAGTCTTTGTTGTGTCTCCTATTTATAATTGCTTTTCCACAAACCTCTCTGCACCCCTTTCCTTCCCTTCCAGTTCCTCCCTCCCTCCTTTCCTTCCTTCATTTCTTTCTCCTTCTCCAGTGCTGGGGATTGACCCCAAGGCCTCCACGTATCTTTTCTTGGGCATCTTACACATGCGGGGTCTTAGCTACTCTTATCTCTGGGTGATTCAAATCTTCATCTCTAGCCGTGACTTCATATGCACAGCTGCCTGGTAGGCGCAGCCATCTGAAATGTTTTCCCTTCTTGTCTGGCCTCCCAGTCTCATCTGTGAGTGCGCTCCTTTAGCTCCACGTGGAGGCTTACTGCCACTGCACCCTGCCACCCACTCTATAATCTGTAAGTCACCCTGAATTCCTCTCCCTTACCTCCCCATCTGATAAGTCAGAAAGTTTGGGCAGCTTTTATCACTCATCTGAGTATTTCTTATTCCTGCCCCATCTTTTTCTTCCTGGTTGCTCCTCTTCTGCCTTACATCCCTGCTCTCCCTTGTCTCAGCTCCTGACCTTCCTGCAGTCCTACCTTCTTCAAGTCCCTCTTCCTCAATAGTTGTTGTAGTTACGAGAACTGCACACTGAACGCACTCTCTTGCCCAGCCCCTGTTGTCATGGTGGCCCCCCTGCCTTCCTTCCTCAGACCCTTGGCTATGTTTGCCAGAAGGACTGCGTCCCTTCTGCTTCCTACACGTGTTCATAACCGACTTAATACCTCCCGGTTCCTGACTTTAGCCTTTGACTAGTGTTAGTGCTGTTTATATTCTGCCTGAAATGCTTTTTCTAGCTTTAAAAAAATCTCGTCTTGTCATAATCTTTGATCACTAGAAAAGCTGAAGCACCCTCACTTTATTCCTGACTTTGCACTGATCCATACATTCTTGCTTGATTCTAACTCAAGAGCAAGGGACATGTTTGTCTCTATTGTGTTCATATTTATCTTGCGGTTTGTAGGTGGCGAGTGCCTTCCTGTCTCCTGCACTAAGAAAAATCAACAAGGGCTGGCCAGATAGCTCAGCAGATTAAAGTGCCTGCTTAGGCAGACGCAGGGGCTGGGGTTCGATCCCCGGCCTACCGTGTTGGCTCTGCCCTTGAGACACTCTGAGACGCTGCATGAGACGGGTGTGGTGG